TAAAAATGCCAGAATAGTGTTAACAGTTTTTAGAAAAATAAATAAGTAAAAGAGCAACCATGTAAATTTTCTTATCATATATTTGATATAATTATTTCGATTATATTTAATCGAAATAATTACATCACATATATGGTAAGAGAATTTACATGGTTGTTCTTGTACCGGCACCACTTATAATGGCAAAGGTTTTTTGTACTTTTGAATTCAAAGTTTCAACTAAGTTTAAATGAAATTTTGAATAACAGAAGAAAAATGTACAAACTTTGGAAACTAGTCCAATGAGTCATACTAGTAGAAAATAAAGAAATAATATTGTTATATTTTCATATATTAACAAATAATTTGGTTACATTATTTACGATAAACATCATAGACAAGGCCAGTTTAAAAATGACTACGTAATTTTTTTCTTGATACCGTTCATAGTTCCGGCAAAAAGTGAGTTTTAAAAAAGGGAAGGAATTGAAAATTGGTATATCGGATTTCTTCAAAAAGACCTTTAAATTGACATATAAATCGTTTAAATATCAGGGTGGTGACGATTCTGTATGGAAACGCGCCCATACCCTTTATGGAATCTCTCCATGAAAGGATACTTCAGTCTGATAAAAAATAGATGTGATAATGACGGATTAAAAAAGTAATTGAAAAAGTCCATTAAGCCAGGAATAATAATATGTTCAGGTATTTAGTAATACTGAAGATTATTAAGAATCATAGATAAAGATAGAAAAGAAATTTTAACAAAGTAAGGAGTGCAAAAACTATAAAGGCTTTTATTAAAATTATCTACTGAAAAGCAAAGGCTGCAAATATTGTCTAGATTACAGACGTTGCTGACATAATTTTTCGAGAAGACAGCACGTTTATCCTAGTAATTATTAATTGTGAAGATTATAACATATTTGGGTCATTCTTTCACAAACTGTACACCATCCAGACCTCGACATTTTAAAATTGTCTGAAATTTTTTTACAGATATTCTCCATAAAATCATTCGACACGTATTTCAGGATTTATCTGAAAAATATTTACGATTGAAATATAAATTTTTTGCTCAATTTCTATGAACATCATCTGCCAAAAATTAATTATCTCCAGTTGTGCTGATCGGATCAGTATTAATATTTTTTTATTATACTCATATTGAAGTGAACTTTGTAATATTTTTTTTTGTTTTTGAAATTTTCTTAACAATAACAACCTTTAAATATTTACAAAGGTTTTACATACCCTTTACCCAAATTGAAACGATTTGAGAAAAAAACATTGTTTTTCTTTCTCTGCAACAAAAATCATTTTACTATTTGATGGAAAATGATATTAAATATTTTCGAGCGCGAGTCGGGCTTTCCACGTCGGGGACCTCAAAGACTTGTACTCATTTGTCACTCATTGGAGTTCTTCTTAGGCATCGCTCTTAAAATTTGTCATTTTAGCTCATAGGAATCTTTATGTATTTCTGATTGTTAAATAAAACTGAGTTAAAAAAAAATGTCACTTTCAAATGCCAATCTTATTGTTTTTCGGTTGAAAAATATTTTATAATTTTGTTTCTAGCGGAAAATGAATATAGAGTCAAAATAAAATTAGGGGAGAGAGGCACTTAAAAATTCGCGGGTAAAAAGATCCACTGACAATATCTGAAAAACAAGTAAAGTTAGAAATTTTTTAACAACGATGTTTGAAAGTAGACGGATTGTTCAGTTAGATTAAACCCTATAAAATTCCAAACAATTCTAAAATGTGACATTTTATTTTTCCGAAAATCGGTACAACTTGTAAAAGAATGACCCATTTAATACTCAAACTGGCGCAATAATATAAAAAACGAGAAACTATATATTAAAATAAGCCTCCGTTAGATAAAAGTGCTAGGCAACTAAACGCGCGTAAGCTACTCTTTATTAAGAGTTTGAAAAATATAATCAAGTATCAAATGAATTTGAAATAAAAAAGTCATATTAATTTGAGACCGTACGCGATAAAATTGAAACGCAATATTGTAAGATTTTGTATATTATAGGGGATTTTTTTGCTGATTGTAGTAAAAATTATGCAATCATTAAAAAATCATCTGATTGTAATAAAGCAATAGCAAAAGATCAACTTTCCAAATGGCTAGAATTTTCCGAAAATTTAAATGCTAAGTTTAGATGAAAGATCATTACATTAGTGTGAAAAGTTTGCAAAAGCTCAAGTTAACGAAGACGCTGCAATTGTTTGTAAGATGCAATTATGTTTTAATTGTCTAAAATTCTCGCACGGAATGGCTTTAATAATCATAAGCGTTCAATTTGCAAAATGAGGCATTCGATATTGCACAAGACTGAAGAGAAGCCAAATATTCCAAAGCCTAGTACAAACAAAACAATGTCGCAATGTGAGAAGAAGCCTAAAATTTATACAAACTGTTTTACCCACAACACTATAGATATAGCATCAAATGATATGCCCATAACAGCATACGCTTTATTAGACAGTGGTTTACAATTTAATATAATTACAAATTGGCTAAAAAATTTAAAATTGATCACTAAGAGTGATAATTGCCTTAACAGTTAAATTAAACTGATTTTGATATAGAGTACCAAGAAAAAAGTAAAAATATGTTTGTTTGAACATGTTCTCATTATTGCTTTCAGAGAGATTAGATATTATTGCTTTTAAAGTTCATAGAACAGTTTCTTTGTTCAATTTAATGGCAACTGTCACTTGTCTACTATAGATAGATTTACTTTGTTTGTTATTTCGCAGTAAGTTAAATTAGTAGTTAAAATAAGTTAACATTAGTAGTTAAATACCAGTTAAATTTAACTTAACTAAGACAAAATACAAAAATGAAAAAAAAAAGATACAAGAAAAAAAATATTTTGCAAAGTTTCCCTGTTAACTTTGACGGTTGTTTGCATTATTTGATTTTATGACTAATCTATCGCATTCAAGGACAAAATTTAACAGTATTTCCACGTAGACAGATGTTCAAATTACCATTTAATTTACTCGGAGCAAATTGGTATATTAACAAAATTATTACTGATCAATAAAAGTGGCACAACCGTACCCAGTCTTTCCTGTATCGTTGATTATATTTTCCAGAGTACGGATTTTCCTTAAAGTATAAAGCAAAATCTAAAAAGCATCATATACTATTTAATGTTTTTATTAGTATTCCTCACGAATACCATTTTCTACATTTTATTATTCAAACTTGTGCTTCTATGCCTCCACGTCCTTGCTCATTTATATTCTTTCGTCCTAGTTTTTCTATTTTACGTTCGATGACATGGGCAGCAGGCTGCCTTTCATTTCACATCTGTTTCATTTTTTACTCACAGTCGTATCCAATAAACTTATTTCCTCTTCTATCATCTTTAATAGTGATTTTTTTGTAGAATAAGTTTATCTTTTTCATTCAGCACCAGCACCAGCACCGCGTTTCGAAACTCTTCAGGTTGATTTCAGTTGCCTCGTGTAGAGTTCGTATCTCTGATCCGTATAGAGCAGAGATTTAATTCACACACCAGAACGAGTCTCAATTTTTGGAATATTATTTTGGCACTGGCGATTCTTTCTTGATGAATTGGGCAGTTTATCACTATTCAAGTATGAGAACCCAAGGTGTAAAAATTAAATTTATTAAAATTATCAATCCACTATTGGCTTAAAAAGTACTAGTTCTTTGAATTCCATTTTTAAAACAGATATAAATAAATATAGGATATTTATATTGTGTAAATAATCGTAAGATATTTATAATGTGTAAATAATTGTAATGCAAATATGCATGAAAATAGCATGTATTATTTTTAAAGCCCATCAAGTCAAAATTAGTACTTAAAATAAACAAAGTAAACGCAGCTGCATTTCATGTATATTTGTCCTTGAAGCGAACAAAACAATAACTGTCTAATAAAAATAGCTATAAACATTCATTGGCTATCAAAATTTGCACAAAATTTGATTTTACGAAGGAATGACTCATAACAATTTGAGTAATCCATTATAGTAGAACTAGGTATGATTTAATTAACTTTTTTATTAAACAAGTACTAGTATTTACATACGTTAGCTCATAAAATTGTATTATGAACTTACAACTCGTTAGTTGAGGTTACTCATACTCTATTTGATGTATTTGATTATTAGAATGTCTCTAGGAGTAATAATTTTTAATTTGATGCAGCAATGCCCCGAAAGGCTATTTTCAATTAAAAATACTTTGCTGTTTTCTCTTTCAAGTGAAAACCGATGTCACTACTGCTTGACATCACGCTGTGTTTGACATTAGAATGTTTCAAGTATTTAAAATTATATACTGTTTAAACGTCCTGTTAATTTAACAGAACATTTTACAACTTATTAATCACAACTGAGAGTTCTACAAGCTGTTGTGATCACATTTCTTCTCAAAGTAGCTATTTTAGATGGCAACCCAATGGCTGTTATTTTGATGTATTTTTTATTAAAATGCAACCCAATGGTTATTCTTTACAATAGTGATGATGCAATTATATGGTAGTCCTTGACAATAGTGATGATATAAATATAATGAAGTCACGCCGTAATATAATTTTATGATATTATTTTTGCAGCGGTGATAAGGATATTTTGGAAAAATGGAAAGAATATTTTCACATAAAAAATTATTATGTTCTATTTTCAAGTGAAAACGAATATGACTACTGCAAGTTATTGATATAAGGTTAACCCAGACGCAAATTTAAACTAGTAATTATGAAAACATGGTATTGAAAAATACAAAAATCTTTTGTTTGCTTTCATGTTTATCGTTGAATTATTGTTGAACAGATGTAACTACATTTTTAAGTATATTTATATAAAAATAAATATAAGGATGTTTACAAAAAATCCTTTAAAATTCATTATTTTGAAATCATTGTAAACGACAAGAACTTTTGTTTTGTTTTGGTTTGAATAAATTTATAAAATTACTATAAATCATTTTTTATTACTCTAAAATAAATTTACTGAAGTTTAGAAGTAAAGTTTATGTACCCGCTACTATTGGGGGTACAGTAGCTCCTACAGAGCCAGATCAGGAATCAAACCATCGAGAAAAAATTCATGCGGCTGAACATCCTAAGATGAACGATAATACAGATGATACTGGGGGCTGTACCTATGGCGACTGTCTCATGGCAAGTTATGAAGTCATCAAGTAAAACTTCTAAGCGTAGGCGTACATCTTTAAACAATTCATTTAAAAATACATAAAGTGTCAAATAAACTTGATATATTAAATTCGAGAACGAAAACATCAAGTTTAATCGTCATTTTGCGTTTGGCAGAGTATAAGTGAAAATATTGCATTTTTATCTGTAGATATATCCGATTCCATGACAGTTTTTTGCAATATTATTATTATTTGCAACAAGCTTGACTGCAATGCAAGAGGTACCGAGATGGAATTGTGGCACCTTGTATAAAAATATTAAAATATTGTAACAAAAACTTGTATAATAAAGCAAACGAGTTATGATTAATATATACTAAATACATATACGCAGAATCACAGTTATATTTTATTTTAAAAAGATGTGCTAATTATCTTGCGTTCTATGGGAAAAGAAATGGCGAATTGGATTTTGCTAATTTAAAAGATGAGTATAAAATCAGTGTAAGAATGATAACATTCTAGATCATCCCCCCACAAAACGGCGGTTTTCATGGAAACCAGAGGCAAGGGCAAAGCGGAGGTTTTAGTCGGTATTAGACTCAGGCGGTACTAGTTCTGGAATGCATAAATGCATTTTCTTCGCTAAACAAAAAAAAGTTATACCATTTGCATCGAGTACAACATCAAAATACATAATTATTTGAAAAGTTAAAGAATATAAAAAAATCGTATGGAAATATAAAAATAATGTATGTGGTTGGACTCTCTAGTTAATAAAAAAAACTTATCAATTTGTAAATCGTAAAGAGAAATGTTTTATTTAATTATTTCATTTTTTAATTGTAATAAAAAATCTAGTTTTTATGCATATTAATTATCATTAATTAAAAAAAGTAACACAAAGAAGTGATATTAACCCTTTCCACTCGGATGCCGCCGCTCCGGCGGCAAAATACATATAAATTTAGAAATTTGCGATTGGAAAGTGTTAAAAGTCATATCGAAAAGGAAATTTCATGCACAGATGATAGATGATACATTCTTGTCGTCACAAAAACATGCACAATTGAAAAATGTTACTATAATCACCATATTACATATAATTTTGTCACATATTTCTTAAAATAAAATGAGATAATTGTAACAGTTAGAATGATGTATTATATTGTTGTTGAAGTTCGGATAATTCTATAAAGAGTTTTGACCAAATAAAATTGTCTCCATTCCATTCGTTTTTAAATATATGATTTTTTAATAGTTTTTTTAAAATAAATAATGCAAGGTTATATTATTAAAAGTCAATTGAAAAAGGCATTTTAGGCATAGACAACAGTTGATACATTCTAGTCGTTAAAAAACCATGCATTATTGAACATTTTTACAATAATCACCATAATACATATAGTTTCGAAATTTTTAAAATCAATAATTTCGTCAGTTTTAACATAAAATGAGATCAATTTAACAGTTAAAATGTGTATTGTTGTTGAAGTTCTGACAATTCTATAAAGATTTTTTCTGCCTAAACTATAAAGAGTTTCTGCCAAATAAAATTTTCTCTATTCCATTCGTTTTTAAATATATGTTTATCAAATTTTTTTTCAAAATGAATAACACAGGAAAATGTTATTAAAAGTCAAATTAAAAAGACGATATAAGACACAGACAACAATTGATACATTCTAGTCGTTAAAAAAAAATGCACAATTGAACATTTTTACTCTAATCACCATATTACATGTAATCTCGTCATATATCTATAGGTGGTTTGAAAATATAATTAGATAAATTTAACAGTTAAAATGATATGTATTGTTGTTGAAGTTCGGACAATAATATAAAGAGTTTTTGCCAAATAATTTTATCTATTCCATTCGTTTTTAAATATATGTTTTTTTAATAAATGTAGTTAAAATCGAAAAATGCAAAAAAAACTTTTGTCTGCTTTCATGTTTCTCGTTGAAACGTTTCTGGACAGATGTTATAACATACTTAAGAATTTTTATATAAAAATAAATATAAGTGTGCTTACAAAAAATCATTTAAAATTCATCATTTTGAAATCATTGTAAAAAACACGTCATTTTGCGTTTGTAAAGCGCTTAATATTATTATTACTATCGCTATTATTAGGAATAAAATTGATTATGTATTATATAAATATTTTTATACCGACATTTGTTTCTTTCTGCCAACTTTTTTAATACACATCAATCGATTCGAAAATATATTCTAATTTAAAATTAAAACAGTAAATATTCATTCAATGTATTTTAACTATCAATGGAAGTATCATAATATTTAAAATCTTATATGAAATCCAATAGACATGATTAAATTTTTTTTTTTTTTTTTTGTTACAATTTATTTTTGTTAATCAAGACTTTAATGTCTTATTTACAAAATTGATATGAGCAACAAAAAATACAAAAATACAAAAAAATGCAATAAATTGAATATGAAATGAAAAAAGTTAAAATAAAAATAAAATAAAAACAGTAATACAAAAATAATAACAAAAATGAGCTATGACGTGATTATGTATGCCGCGTACTACGTCAGGGCGCGTGCAGACATTGGGCTAGGTGTTTGGTAGATCGGAAGGCCATATCTTGCTCAATCTTCTTAACGGTCTGTGAATCGCTTGAATAGTAGGATTTGTATGCTGGATTAATTTATTGTTGAAAGATGAACTTCTAATCTTGATCATTTCGTTGACTGTTGAGATTTTCAAATCCTTATATAAAGCAAAAGTTCGAAATATACCAAGGCGCATTAGTAAGGATACGCAGAATTTTGTTCTGGCACCTTTGAATGATGTTTATGTTAGATTTGCAAGAGCAACCCCATAGTTCGATTCCATAAGTCCAAATGGGCACTATGATAGTTTTGTACAGAAGTACCTTGTTATCGAGAGAGATTTCAGATTTCCTCCCAAAAAGCCAGTAAAAATCTTTTATTTTTAGTTGGATTTGTTTCTTTTTATATTCAATGTGCGTTCTCCATGTCAATATCGAATCAATGTGCATGCCTAAATATTTGACAGAATTGCATAGTGGAATTATTGAATTGTTCATGATGATAGGTGGACTGTTGTGATGTGTTAGAGAAACAATTATGTGCTGAGATTTTTCGATATTGATTTTGATATTCCATTCTAAAAACCATTTTTCGAGACTAGATAAATAATTTTGTAACTGACATGTTGCTGTTGTAATATCGGAATCGCATGAAATAATTGCTATGTCATCGGCGTAAGTGCATATAGTTAGAAGATCATCTGTGGGCATATCGTTTGTAAAAAGAAGACAAAGTACTGGGCTTAGCACACTGCCCTGCGGTACCCCGCATTCTATATTTCTAATGCTCGAAGTCACATCTTTAATTTTGATTCTAAATTTTCGATTAAGCAAATATGAGCTTAAGATATTGAAGTAGTTTGGAAAAGTTGTTTTGATTTTATATAGGAGTCCTGAGTGCCAAACCTTATCAAAAGCCTGACTGACATCTAAGAATACGGCTACGCTGTGTTTCTTTCTATTCATGGTTTCAAGAATACGAGACACCGTTCTGTTGCATTGTTGAATTGTAGAGTGATTTTTTCTGAAGCCAAACTGATGGTGAGGAATCCAACTATCATTCGGATGATCTTCTGACAATCTCTGCAACAAAAGTCTCTCTAAAATTTTCGATAATATCGATAAAAGACTGATAGGACGGTATGAACTAGCAGTGTGATGGTTTTTGTTTGGTTTAGCGATTATAATAATTTCTGCAGTCTTCCACGCTGTGGGCCAATAATTGTATTGAAGTATGGCGTTGAAAATATTTGTTATATATAAAATACCTTTTGTAGGCAATTCTTTTAACATCTTTGGAGTAATTTTATCCATACCCGGCGAAGATCTATTTTTTATCCTTTTTATTTCACATAAGACATCATTTGGTGAAAAATGTCCTAACGGTGTAGAATGTATGGGTTGATTTACGAAATTGTTAATTAAATTATTCTGGGAAATATTTCGAGCGCTAAAAATGCTACTTAGATGATCAGCAAATGCCTCCGCTTTTCTTCGTTGCTTTTTGCCCAAATGAATCCGTTTTGGTTGGTTATTTTCAGAGGAGGGTTTTGTTGTAAGGGTTTACTTTTGTTTCTGATTGGTTTCCATATGGAATTATCGTACCTATTTAGCTGCAATATATACGACCTGAATGTACAATTCTTCCATTCTTTCATTTTTTTCCTCAGCGTGTTATTGAGATGATTAAGCGATGTCTTATCCGTTGGTAGATGAGAATGTTGCCAGGTACGTCTTGCTCTTCGTTTCTGTGCAATTAGCTTCTTAATCTCTTGCGGAATTATTAGATTATCATTTCTTGGAATAATATTCGGGGTGACCTGCTTGGTTGTTTCACGTACAATCTCAGAAAAATAATCTATATTATTTTCTATATCAATAACGCTTGTAGGCCTAGATTTTGGAAATAATTTTGAATCAAGTATGGATTTGAATTGAATCCAGTTAGAAAAATTGTGGTGTAGAATATGATTGTTGATAACTGGAGTAGGAAATGTGCTAAACGTCACAAGTATTGGAGAATGATCTGAAGAGAGATCGTAACTAGATTCAATATTGAGATTTGAAAGATCAATACCTTTCACAATAAAAAAATCTAAAAGGTCTGGAACTTTAGTAGGGTCAGAAGGCCAATAAGTTGGACTGCAAGTTGAAATAAAGGAGAGGTTATTTTGCCCTATGGCTGCATGAAGAATCTTTCCTTTGGCTGTAGTCAGTCTAGAACCCCAGGCAATATGTTTACAATTAAAGTCACAACCAATGATAAATTTATTACCTAATTGAGAGAAAAATGAAGAAAACTGAGCACAAGAAATTTTGAATCTTGGTGGACAATAAACAGCAGAAACACAAAAATTATATAAATTTGTTTCAACAGAAATTTGAGTTGCTTGTAGAAAATCATCAGAAATATTTGGTAGAACAAAATGCTTTATATTAGTTTTGATTAATATAGCCGAACCGCCGC